CCTGGGCAAGTGGCTCAGAGCAAGGAGAACAGGTCCCGCATAGTAAGCCCATCTGTCAGACACAACCTCCAGAGGCTTTTTCGTTCACGGCCACGAGTCCTTTGTAGTCCGTGCAGAATTCTGACGCCGAGCTTGCAGACTTGCAACTTGCCAGGAACCCAACATGCTCCGAAGCAGGACTCGTCTGTGGCAACTTGGCCCCGACATTGCCCGAGATGGTTGCGAAATGTTCCCCATCCTCCTGGAGGCATACACATGCCCAACCTGCGCAATGATGGACTTTTTGGCCTTCCTTAAAGCAGGACCCGTCATGGAAGCACATCTTGTTTCGGAACGCCTCCAAGGGGGTCAGGATGGGGTCCACACAGGCGAAGGTAAAGCTTTCATGGCCGAAACCATCGGGCGGTCTCAGGATAATCTCAGGAACCAATTGGAAACCAAGCATAAGAGGGTTCTTCTTTTCTGCTCGGGAGATCAGCTCAACCACATCTTCCTTCAGGAACTCATCCCTTACACTGAGAGTAGCAGAGCAAGCAAACAGACGGTGGTGATGGTCGTCCCGAGGAAACCCACACAGAGGACACGATACATCTTCCACGTCATAGCCATATTTAGCTAGGCGCCACTTGGGCCACAAGCATTGTGTGACAAAGGCCTCCAACATGCACTGCTCAGCATACGACAAGGTACTGCCACGGGATAACAACTGGCAACAGGCAGACATGTCCAAGATTTCTCCAGGGTGACCCAACTTGCTAGCAGCCTTCGCAGCCAACGTGTGCACCCACGCAGCTCTCAGATCACAAAGAACCTTTTCGGGAGACGTGCTTGTAAGGACTACTTCCTGACCCTTGTGGTCCTCTCAGACAAAAGGGAGAGACGAACTTCCAGGAAACTCTAATCAAGGAGACAACGGCAGCCCCGAGAGGTCCTTTGACCTGGTTCCACGCCCTCGGCGGCCTCGCCAGGATGTTCGAGGCGAGCTCCCGCAGCCGTGGCAGCGAGGGCTCGAATCCAGGGCAGGTCGCAGCTTTCCAAACCAGGTTCGCCCAGGTAATGACAGGGCCCAAAGCAAGCCTGTAGGTGGGGTCTTGAAGGATGAGAAGCGACAACGTGCGGGACCTGGATGGACACGTGCTTCCGACTGTTTGCAGGAAGAATGGCTGCGCTGCTGCAACTTCCCGTGCGTCCAGCCCCACCCCCTCGGCCCCGTAATGCCCAAAGGATTGGATACCTGTGAGGTACACCCGCTGCATGTTAGCACCTCCCTTCCTTATGGCTGCTAGTCTTCGCTTGCGGCGGTTCAGCTTCTTGATTCTCTCCTTCAAGAAACGGGTGGCGCCTCTTCGACACCTGAGCTGGCATCCCGTGGTATCCACACCTGGATTAGCAGCAGAGATTTCTTCGGACTTCATGTGCTTTCCCATGGACCTGGCCAAATCATGTCTGATACTGTCCGAAGAAGCAACGACAGCAGACTTATCGTAGGCAACCGCACACTGCAAGGCGTCCTGGATCAACTGGAATACCTGGGCCGAGCTCTCGACTGTTCTGGTGACAAGGGTCCTGGGGTCCGAATCTTGATTCAGAATCATCCAATCGCCGATGACAAGGAACAGATCAGATCTACCAAGATCCTGCTGGAGCTTTGAGACTGGCCCATAGGAATAAACCTGCACCAGGAACGCTGCAAACGGGCAACCAGCCAGAATACCTTGCATGGGGAAAGACGATTCCAGAGCATTTCCTTCCGTCTGGAAGAACCTTTTCGCACGGTACATGTTGCAGATCACGGCGAGGACCTGCATGTCAAACCCCGACTCTTCGGCCCTGGTCGAAAGAAGACTTAAATCGATATGGTCGTAGAAACTACTCATATCATACAGCGCAGCCGACGTGTGAATATTCTTCTCAGACATGCTAGCCGATCCAGCTCTGAAGTTTTGCATGAACACGAGCTCAAGAATTGATGCACCCTTCTGGTGACATAAGCAACGAATCCGATGCGATCGTTCCCAAGAGCGTGCGACACTCTGACGAAGCCTGCCATGCACTCGATACAGAGACACACAGGCCGACGCCACGAAACTTGACCGCACCTGGCTTGTGCTTAGGACTGAGACAAGTGACAACCGCCTGCAAGACAGAGGGGAACTGCCCGTGCTGCTCGATAGGTCTAAGACGCCTGGCTATGATCCCCAACTGCTGGTCTGAGCACATCAGATAGTGACGGGGATGGAAACCATCAAAAGCCTGGGACGTCGTAGAACTGAAAGCAGCACACACTTTCCTCAACTCGTCTGGGGTGGCGAGGGGGACAGGCTTCCTATCTGCATGATTCACTTGCCAAGGAGCAGGAGGGGAGACGTCCCCCTTCCAGAGGCGCTCCAGCCGATCCGCCTCCGCCCTGAGGATGCTGGTAGGCTGCCCAGACCACTGGCCCGAGCGCTGCAGCACCTCCCCCGGCTCCCAAACATCCTTCCACTTGGTCCACTTGTGCATCCAGGGGACAGAGCTGCCTTGACTGCGAACCCATTCCTTCCAGGACTTGATGGAGCCGAGGGTGCCCCTGGAGCTTTTCAGTCTGCAAAGCAATTGCAGGATCCTTCAAGAAATTTCCAAGTATGCCTTCAGCAACGTACACGTTCAGAGACTGCTGATCTAGGTCCTGACGAAGACCCATCGGACAACAACTTGGCCCTGTCCAAATGACAAATGAGCGAGGGGACCGACCTGTACTCAGCAGGACAGCCTTCCGAACTCTCGAGCTGCATTCTAAGGTCAGCCTCACTCCTCAAGTGACAAAAGACGTTCTGGGCCCATTTAACCATCCAACGCAGAGGTACTAAGCAGGACTTCCAAACCAATTTCAGGTTCTTGCAATGCTGGACTAGAGGGACGTTCACAATCCTAGCACTGCGGGCCCTCTGCGAGACAGTCTCCAGGGGGGTGTCCGTCATCCTACTGATGGTGCGCTCCAACTCCATGGCAACACTCGAGTACGCAACATCAAGAGCGGCCTGCCGAGCGTCAAAACAGGACATCAAGGATTCCTCGGAACTCGACTTTGCTCCCGCCGACGGCGTCTGGCCATACAAATACATGCTATAACTTCCCACAGAAACCCCACGCACTTCTTCCAGCCTGGATACTTGGCTCTCCAACTTATCCCAAGGCAAATTCTCCAGAGACGGACCGAAGGGCTTGACATGCGGGATCTTCTGGCACTTACACAAGACAGGGATAGTATGGTTGACATCTGACCAGATGTGCAACGTCACAGGGCAGTGAGGGGAGACAGGGTACGATGAGAGCACAGAGATTGACGTAACAATGCTGGCAAGCACATGAGAGAGCACAAAGAAGTCAATTGTGGTCTGAGGCTTCTTCTTGATACATGTATGCTTCGACGGAACAACCGCCTCCATCCCAGCTCGGATCAGGAACCCTGAAGTCTCTAGCCTCCTTACCTTCATGTTCCAATCTCCTGCAATCATGACAGGTAGCTGAACCTTCTCCTGAAGAGTTGCGATGTCTTCCAAGAGTTCAAGGTTAGTAGCGTTCAACCCAACACTCGTCTGCATGTACAGGGTGGCGAGACAAAACTTGGGGAGCCCAGGGATGTCAATCTTCAGGGCGCAGATGCGATGCTGCATCGAAAAGCTAACAGGTACAGGACTAGCTCCAAGATCCTGCCCGGCCCTTAGTAGGATAGCCACGCCTCCAGAGGCCACTCCAGATTCCAGAACTGCAGCCATAGAGAAATAACCAAGCCAGCCACGAGCAGAACACCATTCCTTGGCAGACTGCATGGCTTCCTCATCCTTTAACAAGGTTTCCTGCAGGAGAAGAATCGAAGCCTCAGGGAATTGAGAATTACCAGACTCATGGTCATAGTTCGCCTGAAAAGTAGCAGAAGAATTCGTGTTCAGGGTGGTAATTTGCACGGCCCACCCTTGGCCCGTAGTTTGTCACAGCTCAACATCCTCAGGACCCGCCACCCCCCTCTCTGGATGCTGGGGCGGCTGCTGGCTGGGCGGGGCGGCGGCAGTGGCTGGGGGCCTCCCCTTCCCCACCTTTCCTCTGCCCTGAGGTCCTGCTGATGACGACGCCGCAGCGCCTGTAGGCTTCAGCCTGGGTTTTTGCCCTCCTGAGCTTTGCTGGGCACCCTTCCCTTTCTTGGCAGCTTTCCCAGACTTCTGCTTCACGAGAGTCCACACCTGATCATGAATATCTGGGCACTCTTGACGAAGGGCTTCCATTTGCTCCTGGAGGCTGCTGAGGTCCTCACCAAGGCGCTTAGGAGGAGGAGGGGGAGGAGGAGGAGGAGGAGGAGAAGGAGGAGGAGGAGGAGGAGGAGGAGTGCACAGGCGGGGTTGGTTCGGATCGGAATCGAATCGCCCGATCGCAGACTGCAGGGTGCACCGTGGCACCTGCCAACGTCCTTCATGCAACAATATTTATGTAGAAAACTGCAAGCACGCACATTGCAAGGGACAAACATGAACCACAGACATAATCTCCCAAACTTATGACCATCGACCTGCGACCTTCGCACAGGCAATGCACTCATTCAGCGAAGCTGCAGTGAACTCCATATCTTCTCAAGGAAGATATCAGACACTCTTCAGTCCTTACTTGTAATAGACAAGCTGCAACACACAACTCAACCAAACAGCGAGAATCACAAAGGCTCCAATTCTGGATTATGCTGCTGCGATTTTCGCTGCCAACAGTTGGGGGGACAGACCGACTATTAGCGACAGAGCTCTACAGATCCGACGTCGGACGACGAGGCCGTTCCTACTTGCGGCCCTCGTGCTCATGTTTCGGAAGGCCACCTTGAACAGGTGCATCTTCAGCGTCATCCTAACCGCGTCGCTGACACCAGACAAGCATGTTTGGCATCTGGCGACAGCGCCTCGTTGTCACCGAAATTGCCGCAGGAGACGACAGCATCCCCTTCGCCATGTATGCCACAGACTCTCCATCGGGACCGCCGGTCCTCGTATGTGGTGCTGCGCACGAGGACCTTCTGCTCCATGGCCGTCTCGCCGCACGGGTCGACGACCTCTTTGGCAGCAGGCGCGAGAGCCCCGCATGCGGTGTGGCTCAGTTCTCTGTCCGCGCAGGGCGGGTTGTCCTCAACGCCCTTGTCGAAGGCCTCTTTGTTAGCGGGCTCGCCGCAGCTCGCACTGGCCAGTGGCGGGCCAGCCATGTCGGGGGGTTTCTCGTCGGTGCGGGCCATGTGACGCCGGCGCCCTGGCAGCACCGCCTTCTCGCTCTCCTTCCGTTTGTCCTCAAACTCGAGCTTCTCTTCCGCCTTCTGCTCAGTCGCCGTCTCGTTAACGAGCTGGTTTCATGATGGGTTGGACGGGGCTCTTCAGCTCTGGCTGCCCTCCTTCGGAGTCCGCCTTCTCTGCTGACGGGTTCTTGTCCAGCCCGTCGGAAGTACTCTGCTCGACGTTCGCGGCTTCGAGAGTCCCGTTGAACTTGCCGTTTTGGATGGTCATGTACGTGGTCGGGTGGGGCGGCTCGATCGGCGACTCGCACGCCGCCATGAACGTGGGCTCCGCCTTCGTGAGGACTGCGCCGCCGTCGGTGACCGTCGGCACCTCCTTTATGCTGACGTCGATACCCGTGTGAGCTTCTCGCTACCTCGCGCGGCACGATATTCTTCTCCTCGGTGGCGTGCCACAGCACGTCGATCTTCTCGAAATGATTTGGCGGCTGTCCGACAGTGAGGACATCGCTCATGTTGCAGAGGACGGCATCTGTGACGAGCTCGCAGTGATAACTTGGATCTGCTCATCATAATAAGCGAGTCCGACTGCCCGCGGGTAAAATGTGAAATAGAAATTTTGATCCCAATCAATCTGCCGTTGTTTTCAGCAACACACTACAAGACAAGATGCTGCTGGGTAGGTTCCCTTCTTTTTTCACATGTTGCATCTACAATCCCATCATTGTTCCACTGTTTATCTAGGCCGCTGCGTGGCTGGAGCTGCTGGACTGTTGTTCTTGGTCTCTGTGCCCTATCAAAAATGCTAGGATGATCAACTCGCTTAGCACCTTTCCCTCGCCTTTGGCGGGATCGGGTTGCTTCCTCTGGAACTTTATGTTCCAGTTCGACCTTGCATGTGAGCTTGCGACATGCCCTTTGCAAAGCTTGGTGAGGCTAACTGCTCGCAAGAGGAGCACATGAGTATGAGTTGGTCCTGCGAATGACATGCGATGTCTAATGTTTTGGTGCCTGTAAATCGGGAGGGGGAGGAGGAGGAGGAGGAGGAGGAGGAGGAGGAGGTAGGAGGAGGGAGGAGGAGACTGGAGGCGCCAATGATGTACATTCTTCGGCCCAGCAGGTACGTCTCCACGACCGCACCCGCGTCCTCTCGACGGGTTCACCTCGACACCCGCAGGTGTGATCCCGTACGTGGCTTCATCCCTCTCCTGGTGCGGCTGCTGTTCATGCTCCTCCGCCTCCCCCTTCTCCTGCTGCCTCCGCCTTCTCCTTCCCCCTGGTCCCGCCTCTGCCCCTTGCTGTTTCCTCCTCGTCCCTTCCCCCTCATCCTCCTCCTCCTCCTCCTCCTCTTCTTCTCCTCATCTATTTCAAGCGCCTGCTAATGGTGGTCAGACTTCTAGGGGTCCGACATTGGAATCGAATAGAATTGATCCACATTCGTTGGGAATTGGCCGCCCCCTCAAGAAACTTTGAGGACACCTGGTCTTTTTCAACATGTGAGCGTTTTCTTTGAAAACATTGGGGTATGCTAGAGAGCATGTTCTTTTCCTGCTGGGCAATTTTGGTTTTGCCCCAGCGAGGTCCAGAAGGGGGTTGCAAGGGGAAGTCTGGTTGAAGTTGGGCAATGCAGCGCGGGCGAATAAGAAATCTCAAGAAATCTTTAGTTGAGGAGCGGAATCTTGGACCAGCCTAGGCCCTGGTGGGCTTGACGCCAATTGTCCAAATTTCAAATGTTTCGACAGAGGCGCATCTGGCCATGGCCGCCGGCCTTGCGAGCACCCGGGGCCTGGCTGGCACTTCGCGCGTCTCTCGGTGCGGCCCGCTCGTGGGGGAGAGCCCAGCCGTGTCCGTGTGTCGCGTCGCGCGGGCCGCGAACAAGACGGGGCATCGTGCGACGAGCACCGCAACTTCCTTGGTGTTCCTGAAGTTTGTGGTGCGAAAGCTGCTTAACAGGAGAACTTTGGTATTGTGTGCCCTTTTCTTGGGCCATGACATTCATGTCTGTGCGCAGACATGGGGAGCCGTGCCATGAGCATTTTTCAATGTTGCCGAAGCAAGCGGCTGGATACCGCAGAGGTATTCGGCGGATGGCCGTGAACATCGCCAGTGGCTCCACGGGTACCTTGGAGTTCTTGTCGACCGAAATCAGTGCCAGACGCTTCGCCGCATTGCTCGGCGGCTGACAGCTACTTCTCGAAAGGTGCGACCACCGCATTGGTGGTTGAAGGGGTTCGGAAGGTAGGCTTCAGTACGTCTGTCGATAACAAAGTAACATACCATTACGGCAGTACCAGAAACCACCCGTTTACTGCAGTGATAGCGTCGATGAGTATGCTGATGGATTGCGAATAGGACGTGGTTGGACCAAAGAAAAGGGATTTTCCAAACATGAGCAAAGCAGTGCAGGCGACGATCTACGCAGCGAGGAACGCGATCTTTAAGGCAACGGTGGAATAACACCGCATGTCGGTTTTACACCTTCATGGTCGGCGGAGATGTCGAGTGCTGGGGATCTGTAGATTTGTGCGACCTCGCAGCGGCGAGTACAAGGACCGCGCTCAATGATATGGTGTTGTGTTCGATGGTCTTGGGTTGGCATTCGCGGAGCATTGTGCAGGACGCTGTTCCCTTATATGGGAGGCTTCAAACGGCTCGCGATGGCTGGCAGTTCTTCCTGAGTGATGGGATGGCGGCCTATGGGCTCGCGGAGTACATCGCAGGCGCGCGTGATCTTGCTTTTCCTTCGTGGTCGCATAGCCGTTGCCAGTCAAAGCATCTGACCAGCTCCAGCCTCGAATCGATGAGTGACGGCGGCCTGGCGAGCCCTATCTGAGGGGCTGAGCGGCCAAGGTTGGAAGTATCCCGTAAGTATGAATGAGGGGCGCGCGATGATTGACATGCCCGGCGCCCCGATGTCCCCCGAAAGGGAGTCCGAATCGATATCTGATCTGGCGGCCGCCGAGTGGATAGCGAACCGCGACAGTGAAGGCGCCTGGCAAGTGACAAAGAGCATGGAGTTCTTCATGTTCCCGGCTTGGGATGACTGAGTTTTGGGCGCTCCTCCACCTGGGGTGACAGCGGTAGGAAGCTCCGCGCCGCACTTGCCCACCGAGCAGATGGCGACGCATCTTGAGGTGATGGTTGCTGCCGAGTCAGGAAAGCCTGGCCCCCCCAGCTCTGGCCATATACCTATTGGAGCGGATGCGGGTGGACGTGCGAAGGCAGATGGCCCGCTGAAAGTAAACCAGGTTGATCTTGCAACGAACGCTAGGACGACAATTCGAGCCCCGTCAGGTAGCGATGAGAAGTATGAGTCCAAGTGCCGAGTCGGCAATCCGGCTGTGGGGGCTTGGGTTTAGTAAGGCGTAGCCTTGGCCAGTCCTGATGGCAGGTTCCTGAAGGAGGTAGTTGCCCAGGCCTGTGCGTCGGGATCTCCGACGGCCCCCAGCCCAACGTCGACCGCAATGATAAGGAAGAGGGTCAACTTCGAGGGGGCGACATCACGCGCAGTGCACATCCCCAGTGGGGGGGGGGGGGGGGCGGGTAATTCCGGCCTCGGCAGGGTGGGCGCAATCTATGTGTTCAATCCAGGTGCTTCAGATCTTGTGCGTGGTTCAATATAGGTTGCGCAGCCTTTGTGGTGCAGTCTATGTGGTGCTATATATGCGGTGCAATCTATGTGATGAAATTAATTTCTGTTCGCAGTGAGTTGCCCGCTCCGCTGCTCGCGCAAACATCCCACCCACCGACCCGCAACTTGGTTTGCAAAATCTCTTCAGACCGCGACGGTGGGTACCACGTGGCACTTGGCAACAACAGCGACGCCGACGACGACAGCGACAACGACGATGACGACGCCGCCGACAACGACCACGACGACGCCGACCACGTCTCCAACGACTCCGACGACGCCGACAACGACGACGACGACATCGACGACGACGACGACACCGACGCCGACGACGACGACGATGACAACAACGACGATGACGACGCCGACGACGACGATAACGACGGCACCGACGACGACGACGACGTCAACGACGCCGACGACGACGATGACGACGACGGCGGCGACGACGACGACGACGCCGACGTCGACGACGACGAAGACGACAACGACGCCGACGCCGACGACGAAGACGACGACGACGTCGCCAACGAAGACAACGAGGAAGGAGGGAGGACGACGACGGCGACAACGACGACAACGACGAGGGAGAAGGGAGGACGGCGACGACGCGAACGACGAAGAAGGAGGAAGGACGGCGACGCCGACGACGGCAACGACGAGGGAGGAGGGATGACGACGACGACAACGACGACGACGACGACGACGGCGACGAAATAGGAGGGACGACGACGAGACGCCGACGACGGACGACGACGACGACGAGGGAGGAGGAGGAAGGACGACCACGGCGACAACGACGACGGAAACGACCACGACGCCAAAGAGGACGACGACGACGAACACGAGGAAAGACAGAGGACGACGCAGGCGACGACGACGACGAAAACGACGCGGGAGGAGGGAGGACGGCGACGACGACGACGACGACGACGACGCAAGAGCGCGCGCGCACGCTTTTGTTGAACATCCGTGTTGCGAAGCCTTGGGTTTTTGTATGTTTTTTTGGACACGCGATTGTGAAACCCTTCCGGAACCGATGGGTTTTGAAGGTTTTCGGAATACGCCCGCAACGAACGCGCAAGGGCGTTCGACAGATTTCGACATGAGCGTGCGCGAAGCCCGTTTGGTAGCATTTTGTGAAACTCTCTCTCTCTTTTTTTTTTTTCTCTCTCCTTATTCTTTATTTTTTTTGTTTTTTTTGTTTTCATTCTTTTTGTTGTATTTCTTTTCTTCTCTTAGTTTTTTTTTTTTTCTTTTCTTTTTTTTCCTCATCCTTCTACTGTCTTTTCTTACTTTTTTTTCTTTATTTTTTGTTTTTTCCTCTTCATTGCTTTCCCTTTTTTTTTTTTTTTTTTTTTTTTTTTCTGTGTTTTCTCTTTTGTTTGTCTTCTTTTTTTTTTTTTTTTTTTCTCTTAAAATTTTTTTTTTTTTTTTTCTTTTTTTCTGTTTTTCTTTTTTTTTTTTCTTTTCTTTTTTTTTTATGTCTTTTTTTTTTTATTCTTTATTTTTTTGTATCTCTTTTTTTTTTTTCTCTCTCTCTCTCTCTCTCTCTCTCTCTCTTTTTAAAAGAAACTATGGTTTTCTTAAGGTTTCGCAAGAGCTTTCGCGGAAGCTTTTTTAGCAAACCAGTGTTGCTAAACCCTGTGGTTTTGTATGTTTCTTGGAAACTCGATTGCGAAATCCTTCAGGCACCGAAGGTTTTTGAAGGATTTCGGCGTGCGCGCGCGACGACGCGCGCGTGTGCACTTCGTCTCATTTTTCGCAAGGGATTCGTGAAAACAGTGCTATGTTAGAACAACAACTATCACCGCATAGTGTTTTTTCAAGGGAACCTCGGGGGGGGGAGCCCGGTTTGGCTGGGATGCTACGATTTCATATTTA